ATATATTTTTTATTTCCAGAATATTTTAGAAAAGCCTTAGAAATGATGCATCGTGCTATTGGAGGAGGTATGCCTGAAACAACAACATATAAAGAACGCGCTCCGTCTCCAAAGACTTTACCAGCATTTAGTGCAGATGTAAGAAAATTTAGAGTTCTATTTACAATACAAATTTTATAACTTCAAACTTGAGTTGTGAGAACTGATTTCAAATCTAATAAAGATTTCTTCGATTTTTCAGAAGATGGGTATTGCTTCACTAGGTTTTCGAGAAATTGTTGCTCAAAGATGTTCGGAACATGGTATTTTATTCATGCCTATGATGGGAAGGAGATACGAGGGAAAACAATTATATAAAGTTGGGAACATATTTTGTTATATAGATAGAAGTGTACTGATGGTATGTTTGGATGGGGTTACGTATAAACCCATGGGTCTGGCAGAAATGATGGAACGCGCTGCCTAGATGACAATTAAAGTTTATGGATGATTTTATTATTTATGCAATGTATTTGTAGTGTATCTAGTAAATTTTTATTTTTTATTTATAGTATAATATTAAATAAGATTTTATAATAAATTAAAAAAAAATATTTATTGAATAATATTTTCCATAGCATATGAGCTTTCAAATTTTCAATTTATATTCATTCTTGAATTGATATCTTGTTTATAATAATAATAATATATTAAATAATAATGTTGGATAATTTTATTATGACTAGGAACTTACAACTCATCTTGATATTCAATATAGATGAACTTGATACTTTCGACATCAAATTACTTGTTCGCGAAACCTGATATTTGAAGTTTATTTATTGACATTACTTAATAAGCTGTAAAAATAGTCATTCATTCAATTTTTTCTTAGATAATACAGCTTTTATATATTGTTATGTGATTTAAGTATTTATTAATTAATACTTCCCAAAGGAAAAGTTTGTTTTTGCTTTAAGATCCGACTTGCTAAGTTTGTTTCCTTTTTTTTGATACCAACGATCGATAAAGTACAAATGTATGTATGTGTTAAAAAAATAAATGTACTGAAATGCTAAACCATTTAGTCAATCTCTTCTCAAAAACGGCTGCTCTGAATTTAAAAATTTAAATGCCATTTGATGGTATTCGATAAGAACTTTCATGTTTTATAGTTTTGCACGACGATCGGTTGAGCAGTTTTTTTTATTATCAGCAGATAATATCAGTATTTTATTATCAGCAGTTTTTTTTATTATCAGTCTCAGGCAAACTTTCGAAGAGCGAACAACAACGCTCTGGAAAATAATTAATTAAAAATACAAACAAGTACAAATAAATATCAAAAATATTTTTAAAAAAAATCCAGAAAGTCTACAGAATTGATATCGATGATAAAAACGATAGTGTTTTTAATGAAAATTCGTACAATAAATCCAAAGTGTTGATAATCAATATTCATGTGGGGTTTCCGTTTGAAACAGAATATGGCAGCAGCTATAAATATTTATCAAAGTTTGTAATAATGGTCCGCGCCCTTAGGATTTTACACTTTGTACCCATTAAGCACGTCCAAGCTGAATAGATGAGTGCTTACGAAAGCGTATTCGAAAATCTTGCTTTCAGTTAAATAATTAAGTTATTTGCGGATTTTCTTTGAAAACTTTTATAACACTAAAGCAATAGGTATACTTAAAAAAAATTGATACAATTTTTTTTTTACAAAAGCAATTATTTTGTTAAAACAAGCAGAAAGTTCTTTAAATCATTCAAATCAGACGCTTAGTTCTTTCACAATAACCCATTTTTGCCCATTTAGCTCTGTATCTTCGAAATATCCTGTCCTGCCTTTGCCAAAAACTAATTACCTTTTCTCCCAATCATTTTACAAATTGAATGTTTTTTAGATCATTCAAATCGGATGCTCGGTTCTCTCAAAAACTTGATCTGTATTTTCTGCACTCTTTGCTCCGTATCTCTGTAACGGCTGGACCTGCCTTTGCCAAAAACTAATCAGCAAATCTCCCTATCAATAGGAATCGAATGTTTTTTAAACCATTCAAATCGGTTGATCCGCTCGAAAACGTGGACGAAAAAATGCGGACATACAAAGCACATCACACACCATTTTTTCTGAGGTATGCCAAAATGTTCAGAAACCTTCAAAACGCGAAGATATGCAAAAATTTTCATCTTCGATTTTCGGCCCATTGCTACAACTACCTTACAGGAAGTTAATAAAAAAAAATCGAAAGAGGCAGAAACTTCAGAAAAACGAAAATCATCATCAGCTAGAAATTTAGTCTTCTTGCAGAAAAAGGCACAAAAGATTTTTAATATATATTTAATTCAAATTTGTTGAAATTTTGGAAAAAATAGTAGATTGCGTTAGGACAAATGATACTTTCTTCTAGTTTTTGATCACATTTAATTTTAGAAATCTAGTTAATTTTACAGGTCACAAGACCTTACAGCGGCTGTTATTGTGCTATATTTTGATTTATACCAAAATGTACTCAATGAATCTTATTTTATTTTGTGTGTCAATATTTATATAATCCATGTTTTGAATTTGAAATTCGAATTAGTGATCTAACTTCAGATGTCTTCTATTGAACAGTTTCATTACTGTAGTGAAAGAATAAACATGGCATGACTTCATGATCCTGAAGATTTCATGGAAGTAAGTACGGCTATTTATTTTAATCGTATTGTTGGTGCGGTGTGGACGTTCGTGGACGTTGATTGAAGTCGTGGGTAAATTTTAGTTATAAAGTTTACTATATAATGTAAATTGCTCAGTTTGTGAAGTGAAAATTGTGTTTTCTTCGTTAAGTGAATGTGTGAAATGTTTTATAAAAAAATATTTTTGACGCTGGGGCTGGGGGTTGCGTGTAGGTGAGTACCCAAAATAGTATTGTTGATAAATTTTGATAAATTTTGATAAATATTTGTATAAAATATTTATACTTACATAAGATAATTTATAAGTCGCCTCTGACTAAAAATATTTTTTGCACAAAATATGAAAATATGTAGATCATCTGTGCGAATAGCAGGAAGTAAAAAATTATATATTATTGATATATAACATTAAAAATGTACATATGCTTCACTAAAATATATAGGTTTCTTTTGGAATATAATGCTTGGTTTTCGTTTCTTTGCATTTTAATCAATATTTGCATTAAATATATTTAATTGCCTTAAGACAGAATTCCACTTACAGCTAGTTTCATCTATTATTTTACTTCATTGCGATTGAAGTTGCATTTTTTTTACAACTACTCTCGCCTAAGAGAGGAGGCTTATGGTTTGTAGTTGAGTACTCTGAAAAATCTCGACGTATATTAAAATTAAACTTCGTACAACGTGACGATTTTTGCTAATGGGGCCCCATCAAAAGATTTTACGAGAATTAGGATTTTTTTTCGTCCAGCTTTGGGTTGAATCCCAATTGGCAAAAATAAATCTAGAGGCAAATACGAGGTATATCCTACTATCAAATTGTAGATTATAAAACTAATTACCTTTTACATGTAAATAATTTTGTTACACTATCACATATGATTGTGTACGACCGATACTATAATATGAACTACGTTTACCGGCGAATACATAAGAAACTTTCCATTACATTTCATCACAAGGAAGTTTTGAGTATAACTGATTAATGCGATCAATCTTTTATCTAATTAAACAAAATACTTTTTAAGAAAGTTATAAAAACCATTTTCAAAAAATTATAAAAAGTTGTTTCTGATCTCAATTAATTTAAAATTATTGCATCGAAAACGTGTCTGCTGTAAACATGATATTATTGTGCATGTTATGCAATTTGTTTTGAAGAACATACATTTACAGTAATATCTAAATTATTTTTTGCAGCATGTTTTAGTCGAACTCAATATCTAAAAGGCATAGAGGTTTGATTCCACTATTATTATAATTACTTACTTACTATTAATTAGCATCACGACAGTTTTATCATTTCACTTTAAAATGTAACATACACGTTTTTTATATGTCTCTGAATGAAAATTTTGTACTAGGAAGCTTGTACTTGTATGAATTCTTTGGCCGGTTTTTAAAAAAAGATATAATAAAAAAGGGTAAAAAATAACTAATAGTAACATTTGAAAGGAGAACAAAACACAGATTTATTCTAAGAATAAACATATTTATAATTGACAAAACTTGATATACAGTGATAAACATCATAATATAAAAATACTAAATTAAATAAAAAAAATATAATTTAATAAACATTGAAATGAGTTCATAATAATTTATTGAGAGAAGAAAGTTGATGAAATAAATAAATTTTTACTCTAGAAATGCTTGGCGGGCTGCAGAAAAATATTTAAAGGACCGGATGAAGCCCGCAGACCGCGGGTTGCTCATCCTTTAAATATACTTTTAAGTTTTCAATACAGTTGTTTGTTTATAAGATTGACAGAAGACTGACGAGCGTCATGGATATCCTACTATACCTAATTGTATATTGTCGTGAACATTTATAAAGCATAAAATTTAAAAGCATTTATAAAACAAGAGCACGGCGGTGCCAAAATTGTTTCGAGTCAGAGCCTGGCATCAGGCAGCTCTGATGTCAAAAAGTTTTGCTTGTGGTTATAGAGCTCAATATAATTTCAAATAAAATTCGCCTTTCGTGGGCATTGCCGCATATAGATATATGCTAATTAATTATACATATCTCATCTATAATTAATTAACACAAAATTAAGGGTGGTTGACCACTGAGTTGTCTCTTGACTACAATATATCTTTCATAACAGCTTATAGTACACGTAGTTCTGATGGCTGTTCAAAAAGAATACAAAAGAATGTATTGGTTAATAAATGATGTTTTAATTTTTTTTTTACAATGTACATAATCCTTGATTTGAAAATAATAGCATTTAAACTTTCTTAAATATACACCTTTCACATAGTACGACTATTAAAACAAATACTTCAGAAGTATTTCAATAAAAATATGTCACTATTTTTCCGTAATTGTTTATTATTGTTTTTCATACAGTTTTATTATTTAAATTTGTACATATTTTTTAATGAACTTTTGAATTTCCGGGTGGCTCAGTTTTGCATATACACCAGGATTTCCAGGTCGCGCGCATCCTCGCCTCCAGGATATAACTCCTACTTGAACTCGTTTTTCATCTACAAGTGGCCCACCGCTATCCCCATGACAAGTATCTTTTTGTCCTTGAGGAAAACCAGCGCACATCATACTGAAATAATTGATGAATTTGAATTATTAAAATTTTATAATTTTTCCGAATAGATTTTTTTTCATTTCATTGTTTAGTAATAATTCATTAATAGATGTTACATAATATAATAAATCTTCAAATATTTATTAACTTTCCGTAGGGTAAGTTATTGTAATCGTCAAAAAATTGAAATTAAAATTTTTTGCATTTCTCGACGTTTTGAAGGTTTCTGAACATTGTGGCATACCTAAGAAAAAATGTATGTATGTGTGTGTTTTGTGTGTCCGCATTTTTTCGTTCACGTTTTCGGGCGCACGGATCAACCGATTTGAATGTTTCAAAAAACATTCGATTTCTATTGATAGGGAGATGTGTTAATTAGTTTTTGGCAAAGACAGGTCCAGCCGTTAAGGAGATACGGAGCAAAGAGTGCAGAAAATAGAAATAGAATTTTTGAGAGAACGGAGCATCCGATTTGGATGATCTAAAAATAATTTAATTAGTAATGATTGGGAGAAGTGGTTATTAGCTTTTGGCAAAGGCAGGTCCAGCCATTTCGAAGATGCAGAGCTAAATGTGCAAAAAATTGCAGTTTTTGAGAGAACTAAGGGTCCGATTTGAATTTTTTAAAGAACTTTCTGTTTGTTTCAACAAAATAATTGCTTTTGGAAAAAAATTGTTTCTATTTTTTTTTCTTTTTGAATTTGTTTTTTGTATGTTGAAAATAATTCAGATTTTGATTTTAATTCTGTTCTAATATACTTTAAACAAGTAATTTCAACTTTGCAATTCAATTTATATAATTCTTATAAATATTAGACAATGTTACAACATTTATAAAAATTTATTTGAATACATTTACAAATATTCTCGATCATTTCGTTACGGTACGGGAAGTTTCAGCAATTTGCCTTTAGGCACGATGCCATGCACTATTAGTTTTCATTTCATTGATTAATGATAATTTATCAATAGTTGTTTCATAATCTGATAAATTAACAAATATTTATTAACTTCTTATAGGGTAGTTATAGTAAAGGGCCGAAAATCTAAAATAATAATCTTTGCATATCTTCAAGTTTTGAAGGTTTCTGAGCATTTTGGCATACCTCAGAAAAAATGGATTTGTGTATGTGTGTGTTTTGTATGTCCGCATTTTTTCGTCCACGTTTTCGGCCGCACAGATCTACCGATTTGAATAGTTCAAAAACATTCGATTCCTATTGATAGGCAGATGTGCTGATTAGTTACGGAGATACGGAACAAAGAGTTCAGAAAATAGAAATCGAGCTTTTGAGAGAACGGAGCATCCGATTTAAATGTTTCAAAAAAAATCAATTCGTAATGACGGGGAGAAGTGGTGATTAGTTTTTGGCAAAGGCAGGCCCAGCCGTTTTTGAGATACCGAGATTTGAGAGTGCTAAGCATTCGATTTGAATGATTATATAAACTTTTTGCTTGTTTTTCAAAATAATTGCTTTTAAAAAAATAATTCCAATTTTTGTTTCCATTTTTTTTTTTAATTGTTTTGTATATTGAAAATAATTCAGATTTTAATTTTAATTCTGACTAAAGTTGATTCATCATTATATACTATAACTCTGAATATACAATTATAACTTTGTAATTCAGTTTAAATAATTCTTATAAATATTAGACAATATTACAGTATATATATATATACTATTTGAAAACATCAATATTCGTCGAACATTTCGTTACGGTACGGGAAGTTCCAGCAATTTGTTTTTTGGCACGATGCCTTAAGGCACGATGCCATACACAACTAGTTTTATAATAGTTTTGATGTATAACTAATAACGTAGAATGAAGTAAATCACAATGCGGTGATGAATAAATCTCTTGGACCAATAAAATCTGATACATCGATTTAGTAGAAATTATTAGAATTTTCAACATTGCCATAGACCCCTCACTTTCCATATACATTTATAAATACTTTATTACAGATAGTATAAGTAATAATAAATCAACGTGGAACGTTGTGTCGACTATGACCCCCCCTTTCATTTCGTTGTCCCTGCAATTTTTTTACCGCTAACATGGATTCTTTGAAAGTTGTCCTGGACCCCTTGTAGTCCAAATGGAATAACTGATTTAGACCATCCTTTTATTAGAATTTCAATTGCGTTATTTACTAGTGATGCATGGCATTGTGCCTTAAGGCAAATTGCTGGAACTACTCGTACGAAAAATATTTCAAAAAGATTCAATTTTCTTTTAGTAATGTGAAAAATCGTTTTTTTGAGAATTTTAAAACTTTTGAGAAATTTTGAAGTTTTTTTTGAAGCAATCGCGAAACGTTAGCTGCGTTAAGTGAAATGAAATATAGAAGCGCCTGGGCGCTGCGTCGCAGCATAACGAATAAATATTGGTACGGAACCCACAGAAAACTGAACGAAAATTGTTCTTATTATTGAAATATCTATAAAATATGTGATAATTTCACGTGAATATGTATAATGATTATTTTTGACTGCCAAATGGCATTTTTTTACTGTTTTCATTGTGTATCCGAATCATCCTCTCCAAAAATCAATTCAAAGAATGAAAAATCATCAATTCTTCAATAAAATGTAAATAAAATGTAATAAATTTAAATTTATAGACTTGACAATTTTTGCTCCTCATCTTCGGAAAGAATGGACCTGCCTTTGCTAAAAACTAATGAACACGTCACACGTCTCCTTCATAATAGTAACCGAATATTTTTTGAATCATTCAAAATGGCTGATCCGTGTTCTCAAAATCGTCGACAAAAAATTGTATCCGCACATACAAACACACACACACACATACATACGTCCATTTTTTCTAATTGTAAGGTATGACGAAATGTTGGGAAGCCTCTGAAACGTAAAGATGTATAAAAAACTTCATTTTCAATTTTTATGCGATTACTATAACTTACCTTACGGGAAGTTAATTAGTTCTCAATATCCAATTTGATTATCACTAAAAATTTATTCAATAAGTTAGATTTACTAGATAACAAAGATATTTTCAGTGCTAGCATCAGTATAAAAATTCTTTCTGATTTTTAATTAGTTTAGGTCGTTATTATGATACATAAAATCTTTTATTTTTACCTGTCAGAAATGATGTCATTGTTAATAGCATGACTGTTCTTGCATTCTTGACTTGAGTAAGCTTTAACTTTAACTTCTTGCAACTTTGGCGAAATTGGCCCCCATTCCTACAACAAAACATAATTTACTGAATATCTAAATATTACAACTAGATTTTAAATTATTTATAAATATATTTTAATGATTAATATTACACTGCAAATGCATAATCATTTTTAAAACTTTATATGCGAGATTATAAATTAAAAATTAAGATTTTCTATTTATTTAGTGGTACTTATAAAAGAAAATTATTAATACTAATCGCACATAGTACAAAAAGTTATTTTAAATATTTTTGTAAACATAAGAATTTTTTTAACTAGGTGCGAGTGGCATTATGCGTTAAATCAAGTTGCCTGAACTTCCCGATTTGTGTATATATTCAAAATATTATTTTGTTTAAATATGTCATAGAAACATCAGAACTTGAAGGTCATAAAAGCTGATGATTTTATTTAAATAAGTACGTTAGTTTTATAGATATCAATCTAAACTGCTGTTTTATCTTTACGCGGTAAATTTTATTATTATAGTTTCTGTAATGGCGATTATTTTTATTGATGCAGCAATTCCCAAACGTATTGTTTTTTATATTTCTAAGAAAAAATCGTTGTCACTACTGCTTGATATCAGGCTGTCTGGGTCGAGTATCGAACTTGAGCCTTGATTGAAATCCCACAGCTTTGACCACTAATTCACGTGTTAATGATCATTGGTTTAAAAAATTTAAAAACCGTTCCATAGATATCAGTTGGAAATCATGCTCATTAGTTTATGGTTATTCAGCTTACAATCTTTAATTGATTTAAAAAGTTCAAGACCTGTTCGAAAGATATTGTTGGGAATCGCGATCATTAGTTTTTGGTAGAGATCGGCCGCTTCTTCGTAATAAATATTGCATTTTTTTTTGATAAAACTGTATGACAATAGAGAGTCTGCAGAAATACTCAAATATTACAGGAGTACAAAGGGCGATTGAATAATAAAAATCTATCGATGTTTAGAATTTCGTTGCGCGCTTAAGCGATTTTATACAGAATCTATGTCTATCGTGCATATGCACATTCTTTTGTAGGTTACTACTGATCACAGGTGACGTCCGCACTTAAATAAAATAGATTTCTAGAAACTTAACTAGGTGAAATGAAATGTTTTAAAACAATTAAATTTAATTTATATAATTCCATTTATTAGAAGCATCAATTGGAAATTGTATTGATTACTTGTTAGTGAAAACGAAAATTAAATCTTCGTTTCAATTGAACATTACCTAAATAGCTGAATCTCAATTCTAATTGATTAAGTCGATTACGTATACGTAGTGGGAAGTTCATGCAACTTGCCTTAAGTGGTTATATGCAGTTATAATTTTCTGAATATTAAATTTTCTTAATGTACATATATTTAAGAACACACACAGAAAATTTCATATCATTCTGGTGAATATTTTCGAACTTACACGCAAATTTGAAAAGAAAAACACGGCTGAGACGGAAGAAAGTAGTTAGTGATCTGGCAAAAAAAATAAAATACAGGAAAACTTAGTTACATGTGATTAGACTGTTCAGTATTGCATTCTGATAAAAGTGTTTAAAGCAATTTCTGAAAATGTGAAATGTGAAAATTGTTTCAACCGGTTTGAAAACTGTGAAAAATTTAACTCATGTGTTTTACTTTCCAAACTTTAAACGCGTTTTTCTCGGGATGGTGTTTTCAAAATCGGTGACCAAACATAACTCGAAAACGGCTAATTTGATTAGCCCCAAACATTATCAGGTTCTTCTTAAATATATTTTTGATTTTGTGAATAATCGAAGATTTTTCCTATCTAATCCAAACTTTAAACGCGTTTTTCTCGGGATGGTGTTTTCAAAATCGGTGACCAAACATAACTCGAAAACGGCTAATTCGATTAGCCCCAAACATTATCAGGTTCTTCTTAAATATATTTTTGATTTTGTGAATAATCAAAGATTTTTCCTATCTAATAAATATTTTGAATTTATGAACAATTCAAGGTAAAAAACCGATTTTTTCAAGTATTCCGACATTTTGTCAAACATTATTATTTTGCTTATTATTACTGGATTTATAATTTTTTCAATGAAATCTTTTGGTTTTTTAATTTCCGATGATTTACTTCAGAGATAGTGTGGTCTCCGCGAAACGTGTTTTTCGAGAGGTGCTCCCGCAGATCTGCTGTTACTTTCTTTTAATGCATATTTTTTATTTAGGTTTTTTCGGCTTAATAAGTGTATATAATCCCCTAATGCAAAATGCTACTTACAAGTAGGTAAATTATTAAATTCTGTTTAAAATAAGATGTAATAACACTTGCCTTCGTGGCGCCCCATCCAGTTACACTCAACGTTGCTCCCTTCGGTACTTCTTTTTCCGATTGTATTAATTTTACAGGAGTTACAGTGCATGGAGTAAATGATATTGGCCCTTTGATCCGTAAAAGTGCAACATCAAAATCATCTGGCACTGCTTTATTATATTTCGGATGTTTTATAATTTCAATAACATCATACACTTGTCCTCCATCATTGTGAGTGCTAGTTCCAACACGAACAGTTAAATCTTTCGGTGGACTTTGTTTGCTAGAATGGAGAAGAGATTCTTATAATGTACAATACACCAACTATTATATGATTATTTTATATTTGCTTACTCTGCAACGCACTGAGAAGAAGTCAGCACCCAATCTTTAGCAATGATTGAACCACCACAGAAATGTTGGTTATTACTTTGAACTGATACTTGCCACCCATTTTTTGAAATACTTACATCATTGCCACCAACGATTCGATTTTGTACTTCCGCGCCTAGATAAGAATATCACAATTTAGTGTCTAAATAAGATTCAAATTCCGTTTCCCGTTTAGCATATATTTGTTAACAATTTACTTACTAAAGCAACAGATGAAACTTGCAAATAATGCGCTAAATAAAATAATTCGCGCCATGATGGGAATTTTGCACACTCTGTTTGACTTAGTTTATCAATCGGTTTATATTGATACTCTGACAATGATTGAAAATAGATAAGATTTCATTTATATCTATTTACACAGTTGCATATGAACATCTTAAGGTGAACTCATTCATTACAAGGAAAATTTTAAATACATATTAAGTTATTCAATCTGAAACTAGTGGTTTATGTCATTGTTTCTTAAAGCAAATTGCTGCAACTTCCGGCATTAAAAATTAATTTTTTAATAAAGATTAAATTTTTTTTGAACTTTGAGAAATTTGTTTTTTGAGAATTTTGAAATTTCTGAAAAAATTGACTTTTTTGAAAAAAATAGACTATTTTGGAAAAAATAAACTTTTTTGAAAAAAAAAAGAATTTTTTTTCATATTACCTAATATTTTCTAAAAGAAATACACATATTGTGCATAAGAATAGAAAACTCAATAATTAATATTTACCACAATAGATATTTTTGAAGAAAAAACAATTTAAATGATTTCTATATAAAATAATTCATCATAAATCGCAATTTCAAGCCGCATTTATATTTTTCAAAGTTTTAAAGTAATTCGTTCGTTGATTTTACGAACTTCTGGATGAATAAATTTGTTGTTTTTTTATTGACTTATTGACTTATCACCCAGAATGTTCAGTTTTTTTGCCAAACTTGTTTTTTTTCATAAAATTTGAATATCTATTTGTTCCCACGTCTCTTGTTTATATGAAATATTTGTTTTACGTTTAGCTTACAATAAATGAAAGATAAGTTTAAACATTCCAATATTAGTTTTTGGTTTTTGTTTCTCTATAGAATATAGAGCTGCTTCTTCGAAAATTGTAGGATTTTCCATCTTAAATCTGCCTTTATCTATAATTGCAACTTTACGTGGTCAATGTTGGAAATAGTAATATCAATTTGTGTTCGATAACTATTCACTCAGATAAGTTTCCAGGAATGTGAAGCACTTGATAAAATATAGGATAAAAAAAAATACCGATATGTATAGCTATCTCATCAATTCTGATTTGCTTTTCAAACTCTAGCTGTAAGTGGAATTCTGTCTTAAGGCAATTAGGGCATCGTGCCTTAAGGCGAATTGCTGGAACTTTCCGTACCAAAAATAATTTTTTTAAAAACGATTAACATTTTTGAAAAAAATTTACTTCGAAAAAATAAGATTTTTGAAAAACTATAATTTGGATAAAAAATTACTTTTTGAAAAAAAAATGTTTTTTTTATTTTGACATATTTTGGAAGATCTGAACTTTTTTTCAAAGCAATCGTACTGCTTTAACTGCATAGAGACAAAATATAAAGCGCGTAAGCGCCGCGTCGCTGTCTAACGAGTAAACATTGGTACGGAACCCATAGGAATGTAAACAAAATTTATGCTTATTGTTAAAATCTCTATAAAATATCTGATAATTTGATGTGCATATGTCTAATGATCATTTTTGACCGCCAAATGGCATTTTTTTTGCTTTTTTCGTTAGATCTCCGAAACCGCTAGACCTGCCCTTATGAAAATCAATTTTTCATCTTGTCAATACAAGTAAAATGTTTTTTGAATTATTAAAATCGGACGCTCCGTTCTCTTAAAAACTGAGGTACCGTTTTTGGCACTTTTTGCCCCATATCTTCGGGACGGCTAGACCTACCTCCGCTAAAAACTAATCAGCACGTCTCCTTATCAATACAAATTGAATGTTTTTTAAATTATTCAAATTGCTTCATCCGTGTTCCCGAAATCGTCGACGAAAATTTGTATCCGCACACACATACATACACGCACACACACACACACACATACATCAATTTTTTCTAAGGTATGCCAAAATATTCAGAAACCTCTGAAACGTAAAGATATATAAAAATTTTCATTTTCGATTTTTTTGCGATTACTATAACTTACCCTACGGGAAGTTAAAAATTATGATTTTATAGTGACAATTATACTTAGCATTATGACAACATGCAAAGCCGCAAAAGTATTGTAGCCAAATGCATATGTAACAAAGTAATTGACATGAATATGGTCAAGACTCCGTGGTCAAGTTTTCCATCTCGACCAGCTCGATATCAAGAAGTACTCATGTCAGATTACAAGGTGCCATTAGAGATTTCAAATATCATATCCGAAATAATTAATCAATAATCCAAAAATTAAATAAAAATCCAAATAATTAATTAATTCACAAAAATCGTTTTAATAGGATTTAAATAATAAAATTTTTATTTATTTATTTTTTGTGTGAGTTATTATATCCTGTGATTTTGCTCTTTCACTATGAATTATTCAAAATATGAAACATAACATGTTGAGGAGATGCCTGTCTACAGGACTACTAGACCATCATTAATTTAATTCTTCACATATTTTTAGTTCATATATCTCATTTATAGATCTAGTAGTTTTACTGATTTTTTTGTGATAGTGAGCAGATAGATAAATAATATTTTTAATCATTGAGAAAATTGTAAATAATTGATAACGCATCTAAACGTGCTATAGATGTGATATTAATTATTTACAATTTTTTTATTTATTTATTTCTTTTATGAAACCATTGTATGTCCAATATGCTGCCGCCACCATTTAAGTTATTCTAGTACGTTGTAATAATCAAAATCAATAGCGTTTTATTTTAATTTAAACTTTGCCAATAAATTCACTAATGGGCCGAATCTGCCGCAGATCAATGTTATGGCAAAGCCATGTTATGTTTCAACTTCCATACATTATGCTACTGAATCATACTGAATACTGTCTAAATGTCATGTATTTGCTGTGCATTCAGGCGTTTTACACATAAACTGGAAGGTCACTTGTATGTTATGAAGCTGGATCAGAAAGACCCTGTTATCTAATATAATATTTTTGACATTTGTGCGGTTTCTAGGTTAGGTTTTCTATCTGACAATATGAGAAGAACGCCTGATAGCACAGCAACCATATGGCTTTTGACAATATTTAGTATGAAAGCCTTGCCATAACTAACCTAATCGGTTCATAAATGTTCGTGCAGATAGATGTAAATCTTTTATGAATAATAAAAAAAAATATGTGCTCAAATGAAATTTCGCTGAAAATATTGCTCGTTATTAATATAAGCTGAAAATACTTGATCTTCATTATATATAAAAGACTAAAAATTGATGAAAAAATTTACCCATATACTAAAATATTGGCGCATTCCTCTAAAATATGTTGCTAAATACTATTATCTTAATTTTTTTGAACCGATTCTCTATTTCATCATTAAATAAAAGAAAATTAATTCAATTGATTTGTTCAAATTTAGAAATAAATAATGTAATGTAATTTAAAATTCATTTTATTAATTTTTTGTTCAACAGTATTTAAAGACCGGTATGTTGTTTAATAAAGCTTCTAATTTCTGGGTGCGATATTTTAGCATAAACTCCTGGCTTTCCTGGAAGTGCACACCCTTGTCCCCAAGAAACTACCCCAACTTGAAGTCTTTTTTCATCAACCAGAGGCCCCCCACTGTCTCCTTGGCAAGAATCTTTGCCGCCCTCCGGAAAACCAGCGCATAACATACTGAAATGAAATTAATTATAAATATTAATAATAATTCTTAAATAATATTTTCAAAATTATGTTTTTTGCTATGAATTCCACATTTTTCATTGATATTCATTTTTATTGTGCTTATGATTTTCCTCACCTTTCATTTACATTCTCCTCTCCCATGCTTTTTCGACAATCTTCATACGAAAGAGCTGGTACTTTAACCCCTCGAAGTGCATGTGTAACTGGACCACCTTGCTATTGTTAGCATAAACAAATAAATGAAAATTTATAAAAATTCTATAATTATTAAAAATACATGAAATATAGGTAATATAGTTTTTTGATGTAGATTTTTAATAGCCCGATCAATTTAAACCTATAATAATCAGTGTGTTATGATAATTCATAACGTTTTATTTAAGTGAGTATAAATCTTTTCATTTCAAAATACGAGTGATAGGGGCACAGGGGGCACACAGATTCAGGATCCTCGCCTGTGACGCACGGTGGGAGCAACCGTTTGCTGTTTTAGGGGCATAATCACGGCGTCGCCTAAATATCAATTGAAATAATTTTAATACATTTCTGAATTCATATTTGAGTGGTATTCAAGGATAAAAGTAGTACTAAATTGTTATTCGTAAAATAGTTGAATATTATTAGATCTTTCAAACATTTTTAGTAAGTACCACCAACTGAACGAAAATGTCTGTCCCTTAGCACCAGACAATAAGTCGTCCCTTAGCGCCGGACAGTAAACATATTGATATTTCTTGTGAGAATTTACGTAATTTATTCTAATTATTACCTTCCCGTAGGGTAGTTATAGTAATGGGCCGAAAATCGAAAATGAAAATTTTTGCATTTCTCGACGTTTTGAAGGTTTCTGAACATTTTGGCATACATCAGAAAAAATGGATGTGTGTGTGTGTTTTGTATATCCGCATTTTTTCGTCCACGTTTTCGGGCGCACGGATCAACCGATTTGAATGGTTCAAAAAACATTCGACTCCTATTGATAGGGAGATGTGCTGATTAGTTTTTGGCAAAGGCAGGTCCAGCCATTACGGAGATACGGAGCAGAGTGCAGAAGATACAAATTGAGTTTTTGAAAGAACGGAGTATCTGATTTGAATAATCTAAAAAACATTCAATTCGTAATGATTGGGAGAAGAGGTGATTAGTTTTTGGCAAAGATACTTCCGAGGATACAGAGCTAAATGTGCAAAAATGTCAGTTTTTGAGAGAACTAATTTCCGATTGAGTCCGATTTGAACAATTCAAAGAACTTTCTGCTTGTTTCAACAAAATAATTGCTTTCGGAAAAAAATTGTTTCAAAATTTCTACTTTTTTTTTAAAGATTTTTTTTGTATATTGAAAATAATTCAGATTTTAATTTTATTTCTGACTAAATTCTTATATACTTTAAACAAATAATTTAAACTTTGCTATTCAGTTTATATATAACTAGCAAACCCGACGAACTCCGTTTCGCCACCAGATGGTTTTGTGAAAAAGATGAAGAAATTTTTTGTTTGTTTTCTATTTGAAGAGAAAAAAATTGATTTTATTATACAACAGTATTGAATTTATTTCGATTACAAAAATCGAAGTGTTTTTTAGTTGAACTTCTCTAAGTAATTGAAGTGAATGCGCAAATTATCCGTTTCATTGAAGAGCTCTTTGGTAAACCACATTTTTTGTTTTTTTTGGTCTGACGTTAACACAAACAAAGCGGATGGTTTTCCAACTCGTAAACAGACAACGTATAACTGCCCATGTGAAAAACAATGATTTTCTAAATAATCTATTTGAAACTTATCCCGCAAACACTAAGCGATTGGCCTTGAGACTTGTTATTGCGAACGCAAGGCGAACTGGAAATTGCAATGGTTTGAAGTCGAACGGAAGACCAGTCGGAATCATTGGTAAGTCACCAAATCGCCAGCAATTTTGATTGAATGGTAAACTTCAGTGCGTGTATATCATTATTCTTTGCGGCAAGAATTGCTCGTTGACTTAACCAAGCATAATTCTGATAATTCTCACTAATGTCATTACTCGAATAATTACGGGTGCGTAAAGTTCCAGCAGCTTGCATTAAGGCACGATGCCATGCACAACTAATTTTCTTAGCTACAAACCTTGCGGAGCCCGAGACCTTTCCAACGAATGCAAAATTGTCGAAATCGGTTAGTGCGTTCTGGAGTTATTTTATCAGGAAGGAAAACCCGACTTACTTTTATATATATATATAAAAAATAATCATTTGAAATTATTTAAAATAGTTATTGATTATTTTTATTACTCGAATTTTTAATTACGGTGCGTGAAGTTCCAACAATTTGCATTAGGGCACGATGCCATGCACCACTACTTTTCTTAGCTATAAACCTTAAGGAGCCCGAGACCTTTCTAACGAATGCAAAATTGTAGAAATCGGTTCGTGCGTTCTGGAGTTATTTCGTCAGGAAGGAAAACCCGACTTATTTTTATATATATAGAAGATAATTCTTATAAATATTCGACAATGTTACAGTATTTAAAATAATCTATGTGAATATACTTAATATTCCTCGAACATTTTGTTACGGTACGGGAAGTTTCAGCAATTTGCCTCAAGGCACGATGCCATGCACCCCGCTAGTTTTATATCGAAATTATTTTTTTCCAAATTTTTTTTTGTAAATCGAAAATAATTCAGATTTTAATTTTAATTTTTGCTAAAGCTCTAAAGCTCACTTACATACTTGAAATAAATAATTTTAACTTTGTAATTCAGTTTATATAATTCTTATAAATATTAGACAATGTCACATTATTTATAATAACCTACTTGAAATCATTCAATATTCCTCGAACATTTCGTTACGATACGGGAAGTTCCAGCAATTTGCCTTGAGGCACGATGTCATACACGACTAGTTTCATTTACCTTGGTGGCGCCCCATCCAGTAACGCTCAACATGGAACCAGCTGGTACTTCATAGCCTGATTCCGCCAAACTTACGGGAAGTGTGGTGCAAGCTGTATATGCAATGGGACTTTCTAAACGTAATAGTGCGACATCATATTCATACTCAACGGCTTCATTGAACTTAGGATGTGTTATAATCTCAGTGACGTTATACACTCGTCCACCTTTCTTATGAAATTTGCTTCCGACACGAACTGATAGGAATTTTGGGGGATTTTCTTCACTGGAATAAAGACATTATTTATGTACAAAAGGAGACTCTTACACCATGGATGATAGTTTCATCTTACTAAGCTGATTAACTTACTCTTCGACACAATGCGAAGCTGTTAGAATCCAATCTTTAGCTATGATAGATCCACCACAAAAATGCCTCCTAAAACTTTGGACTGAAACTTGCCATCCGCATGTTGATATTTCAACTTCCTCGCCTCCTACAATTCGATTATCCAACGTTTCTGCATCTAAAATATTCTTCTAATTAATTTATTTATATTTAAAATATTACATTGTTGTTAATAAATAAACTAACTCAAGCCAGTCGCAAAACTAGCGAAAAACACAACACATAATGCTTGATGCCACATGATGGGAAATTTGACAGTCTTGAATTTTATCAAATGTTCATTCGATTTATATTCGTTAATTTATAGACCTGAGATATAAAATAATTGAATCAATACATTAATTAATCGTATTACAATAATTTTATGGGAAAATTGGAATGTTAAGAGGTACTCCATGAATCAACATAATTGTTCTCATATAAAAATGAGATAAAAATCGTCATTTACTTGATGATTTAGTGCTTGGCTGTTCGATTTTACAACTTTGTGATGAAGATGAGTTCAGTTTTAGCTATAATGTACGTCAAATATTTTTTCCATACAATATACAATATACAGATTGAAAATAAAAGTGAGATAAGGGAAATAATACGATTTATCTACGCATTTATATGTTGTATAAAAAGTCACAAAATTTCACGAAGCTGCGACTTCAAATACATAGTTATTTTTATGTTTGAAAATGGAAAACAGTCAAAATGACTGCGTCCGTCTTTCTAGTGTTAAACGCCAAATATAACATTATGACATACACTTATAGAAACTAATAGTGGACCTTTTTACCTGCGGATCTTCAAACCCCGCTCACACAGTAGATTATGTTAAACAACGCCTAAACAAATATTGTTTTCGCAATTTCACTCATCTTGTAATTGTGTTTGAAGAACTTCATGTAATTAAAATTAACATACATTCATTAACTGCTTGTATTTTTTCACAGTTTCGCTGACGATATAATCTCATTCTTTGAACAGCTGTAATACCTGCCTTGCCTAAAAAATATTTTCCATTTTAATACGAATAATGTAGAAATAATTTCTAATCAATAAACTTACGTTTAGTACACGGCACAGATGTTTAATTTGTTTTATTATTTTCAAGGAACAGGGTGAAATATTCTTCTTCAGGCATTTTTCATTAAATCAAGATTTGTACTATGATGTAACTTTAAAATGTTTATTTATCTATACCGATTTCCTTTTTGATATCGGTACGCATATAACGTTGATGCAGGTGCGCATACAACGACAAATCTCTATTCACATACACGACGACTAATCACAATCGATCGAATAACGTACAATTCGGGTGTAACGCTATTTCCGTTGCATTTGTACAGATTTACACCCTAGTCGCGCCTAAAGAAGTTTTACTTTAAAAATATGTATTTTTTTAATCGATTCAAGTTAGGGGAAAGCTAGGTAAAACATTTGTAAACATCTGAGAGTTGTCATTGTTCAGAAAATTCCAAACATTTTTTTATATTATTATAAAATTGATTTTAATATGGTAAAATGAAAAAAATACTGATCCGATCAGCACAGCTGGAGATAATTAATTTAATGCAGAATATGTTCATAAAAATTGAGCAAAACATCCATATTTTAATTGTAATCATTTACGTAATTTTCTTTTCTCTGCAAAATCCAGAAATACGTGTCAAGTGATTTTATCTAATATCTGCAAAAGAAAAATCAAACCATAATTCTAAAATGTGACATTTTATTTCTTCGAAAGTTCGTGCGATTTGTAAAAGAATGAACCATATTTGTTTTAAATTAATTTAATTTAGTTCTCAAATATATGTTACTGTTTTAAATCAAGTCAAATGAAATAAGTTGATTGCGTTTTAAAATTTCTATTTTTTGCTTTTGATACCACTCAATAACGATAAGATAATTGCATACCACTCTAGTCTATTTTAAGAACAAATGCAATATTTTTCAATAGATAAAATGTTCAATATATGGGTTATATCATAATAATATAATAAAAAAGTTTATTCAGAAATTATATTTTATTTCCAAAAATAAAACAATTTCATTGAGAGTTTATACAACTTGTCTACATTTTTTCTAACAAATTTTATTTGATTCCTGCTACGGTTTCAATAAACCTTTTTACGTCAGGATGTGAAACTTTTGCATAAACGCCTGGTTTTCCTGCTAAAGCACAGCCTTCGCCCCAAGACACAATTCCGACCTGAACCCTATTTTCATCCACTACAGGCCCACCGCTATCTCCTTGACACGAGTCCTTTCCGCCTTCAGGGAAACCAGCGCAAAACATGCTGAAATATAAAGATTTTACATTTACAACAAACGGGATTTTGACCTTGGGAACGAGATTTAATGATATCTTAAATGCAGCATATTTTGTTTCGAGCAATTATATACAAAGTACTAGTGATGGCTTATCATATCCGAAGCCGGATCGGTTATAATTTGACTCCGTTTCAGGGAGGAGTTATATCCGCTTAACAACTCCACGACTACGACAATTTTGAAACCGATATACTCGACCCGTTGTTTATGTATCTTAAGATTTGTCAAATCCCATTAATTATTTGAAATTCTTTTATGAACAGTTCAAACTTATTTGTTGATATTATTATAAAAAGTCACGATTTTAAGCATTTCTATATGCTTGCAAATCCCAAGTGGCATGCTGAAAGTGAGAATAAATATTTTGAATTATCAAGAAAATAAACCTTAGAATAAAAATAAAAATTTTCTTTTCATAAAAAAATAGATTTTTTCGATTAATTTTATATAAAAATAATGTAGTAAATTTTGTAATATAAGCAAAACATTTATCATAAAATATTTTCACCAAATAATAATACTTCTGCTTTCTAAATTTTTTTTCTGCTATTTACATTCCAGAATTAATATTATATCGGATAGTTCGATTAGCATATTATTACTTTTACACAATTATATAATTGTGTAGAAGTAATAATATAATACTAAATATTTTTTGCTGCGTAAATACTATTGATATCACTGATAAGATTTGCACTCTAAAGTATTGTCATATGGAAAAACCAGATTAAATGTATTTCGTTTCGTGTATTTTTCGGTATGTATATTCCTGATTGTCGTCATTCACGGCCAAAGATTGTCGTAGTTAGAGTTAGTATTGTTCTATTCAATAAATTATACACTTGAACACAATTTCATTGTTCTGTATCTTTGAAGTAATAAGTTTGTAATTTCTGGAAAATACACAATGGCATTATTTTGACTCGTATGCCTAAAACGTGTGTGAGACGAGAAAGCGATCGCTTCCTTCCCAAAGCAAAAACGCAGAAAATGTCTGCACGAGTTAACAGATTTAATACCTGTTTAGGAAAGTCGGATATGACAAAATCTCCGACACAATTCCGTTCGGATTCACTCCGAGGGAGAAGTTGCATCGGAGTGATAATTCCACTATATTGGGAACAGTCTACATTGAGTAATTTAGCATAAATTGGCTAACACTTTCTAACAAATATAATTAAATATTTCTAACAAATAATATAATTTAATATATTTAATTGATGAGTTCTAGATTTGTTATCAATTTCAACCTATCTAGATCCAAATTGTCAAAAAATTGATACTATATAATATTGTCAAAAACATTTTCGTCGTTCGAAATATAACATATGCAATCTTTCTTTTGTAATACCTGTCTGAAATTTTGTCATCCAGACCTCCAGGAATGGTATAATTTTTGTTGCATTCTTCATTTGACACGATTGGAACCTTAACACCTTTTAGATGCGTTGATGCTGGGCCGCCCACCTAAATATTTAATTAATAATAATAATTTATGTATTTACATCTAAGTAATGCAAATCTGTTTGATCATATGAATAACTTCAATATATTCTTAACAAAAAGTTTTGTTCATGAATGTTATTACAACGTTCGACCTTCTTGTATTACGTGTACGGTTTTAACCCTTTCGCTAACAGCGTCATCTAAAGGCGACATCCACAAGACGACCTGATTGTATAGTTGTCGCTTATGATCGATATCCAGTGAATTGAGAATTCTTATTGTAATTTTTCATTCCTTTGAAGTGTAATTTTTTATTTTAGTTACTTTTTATTGGTAATGATAAAAAAGATTTGAATTTTTGTTTTCATATACATGTCCATTAAGTAGCGCTACTAGGAGGCTCGCTTGTTCGCCTGCAGAAGACTCTGCCGTAGCGAAAGGGTTAAAGAAGTTTTGATTTAAATGTTGAATATATAAAAAAAAATGAATTGAGTTAGCGTTAGTAATACATGATTTTTTAAATTTAAATGATCGATTCTTAATAATTAATCAAATTACCATAGTAGCCCCCCATCCTGTGACACTAACGAGTGCGCCTTCTGGAACTTCTTTTCCAGTTTCTGCCAATGCTACAGGAACAACAGTGCAAGCAGTGTATGCAATTGGCTTTGCAATGCGTAATAAAGCGACATCAAAATCGTATCTGGTTCGATCGTTATATCTTGGATGTTTTTTAATTTCTTTAATGTCGTATAAACGCCCACCTTTGTTATGCTCATTGCTTCCAACCCTAACTTTTAAACCTTCGATATCGTTTTCATATCTGAAAAATTTGAACTTTTGGAACATTTATCTTCTTTCAAATAAAATTTATAAGTTTTAATATGTTATTACTAAAAGACCTATTCTCTAGTATCGTACAAAATTAAACTGTTTGGAAGTATCATCTTAAGACGAGTAACATGAACTTTTCAATAAGTGTAAATAATCGACTCCACAAACATAAGTTAGAATTAGTTATTCAGATAAAATGTTAACCTGTTTATTTTCAAGAGCTTTCATTAAAAACGATTTTTTATTGATATGTTTGAAACATGCTTATATTATTTTATTTTTACAATGAGTGTGGTCGTAATTTCCTACGAAACTCGGAACGTATATAGATGTTCGGCATAGATTTTAATTAGAATCGTTCAAGCACGCGGACAACTTTTAAACTTCGATTTTTTATAATTCAAACCCTTATCATAGGTTTATAATATTTTGTTATTTCAGATTATGAAATCTATCGTTATACAAATATTATTAGAATCGTCATTTTTTTTTCAAAATTTAATTACGAAGAGATGACCTGACTAATCAGCATGATTCTCAACTTCACAACTGTGAAAACATGTGAATTATCATCATAAAATGACTGATAAATTTTTTAAAATGATTCAGTCGTTTTTGAGAAAACTACGTTAAAAGCTCAAAAATCGGCACATACACACGTACTTTCTCCAACTTTGATCTTATTTGCTTCAGAATGACTTGAAACGATTCTTGATAGCAATTTTATAAAAAAATTACAATTTTATAAGCATATAATCGATATTGTTTAATTTCAAATATAGAATTATTATTAACTATGCACTATAGTACAAGTATTACGTAGGGTAACTGGGTACGGTTGTGCCACCGTTTTTTTGGTGAGTAAATAATCAGTTAGCTGAGGAAAACGAGGGCATTTGTCCATGTGGAAATACTGAAATACTGTCCTTAAATACGATGGATTAGTCATGAAATCAAATCATACGATAAAAGGGTGAGTGTTACAACAGTCCACACAGATATTAATATTTCAAAAATACGGTTAATATATTTGGATGTATATGTATGTATGTATGTATGTATATATATATATATATATATATATATATATTTTGTATGATTCTGAATTTGATGTTGACATATGTATTAACAAAGTCTAATAATCGGGCATAACATCAATAAAAAACATGAATTTCTTTCAAAAATTTATTTTAAATCCATGTTTCCGAAACGTATGGATTTAAAATAAATTTTTGAAAGAAATTCATGTTTTTTATTGATGTTATGCCCGATTATTAGACTTTGTTAATTTATATATATATATATATATATATATATATATTAAATTTTATACTACTTGGTTACACAATGCGCAGCAGTTAGAATCCATTCTTTGCCAATGATGGACCCTCCACAAAAATGTCCTTTCCTATTGTGAAACGAAACTTGCCATCCACAAGTTGAAATATCTACATCTTCACCTCCTACTATTCGATGATCTAGGTCTGAAATTAATTTATTTCAAATTATACAACTAATCAGTTACATAAAGCTAAATAATTCTTATTATTATCACCAGATTTATATTTTATTGTTGTACATAGTTACATACCATGCCCAGCAACAGCTACTGCAACAAAAGCTGCAAATATTAATGACAGTAACATTCTGCAGAGTGTCAAATTACTAATTGATTAACTAATTGATTTGTGATGCTATTACCTACTCAAATCTTATCTTTAATATTTTTTATTAGGGGATTGCCAACCTTTTGATTAATCTATCATGGTATGATACTTTCTGCAAAATTGTGATAATTCTGAATGTGCTTTTTTATAAACTTATTATGTTAATGTGTAATTGAAACCTTAGTACATACTTTAATTATTCTCAGAAATCCAATTTACCAGATTTGAAACTAATGTTTCATAGAAATGGATTCAGGAGTATCAAGCTCCTGATGCTATACTATCTGAGATGTTTTATATATTTATTATCTCGAGTGAAGAGCTTTGATGCATATAATATGGAAAAAAATGTAGCGCATGTTATTCAATTAATAACCAGCAATACTCTAATGCATTCAACACTTTCGACTGGTATAAAAATTTCAATTGATATGATCACAAAAATTTATCTCGAATATTTACTTTTATTGAGCTCTTCCGTAGCTTCTTCATCAGAGATTTGGTCTTCTAACCCAGATTCGAGATTCTATTTCTGACAGTATTGAACATTATTATTAACTTCCCGATGGAAAAGTTTGTTTTCATCAAAAAATTCGATTCGCTAATTTTGTTTTCTCGACGTTTCAAGCAATTCTGAATCGAATGAGACCAAATTTGGAAAAAGTATAAGTGCGTGTGTGTATGTGTGTGTGAACAGGTTTTTTGTCGTAAATCGACGTTTTCTCAAAAACGGTTGGACCGATGTAAAAGCCATTCGATGTATCTCGTTGAGGACTAGGGGTTTTTCAGTTTTGTGCGACGATCGGTCGAGGCTTTTCTTTGTAAATAGCAGAAAAGTGAAAAATTTGTCGTCCACGTTTTAGCCCGCAATTCTGAATCAAATTTGAAAATTCAAAAAATCGTTCGAAAGATATTGGTTGGGAAAGTTTTTGGTAAAGATCGGCCGGACCGTTTCCTTGCAATAAGGAGCTAAAATTTTTTTTCAACAATTTCTATGATTTTTTTGACGGTAGATAGCATAGTCTCATATCACACTGAAATATTACGGCCCTACAAGTCGTTTAGTATTAAAAATTCGTCAGTTTGCAAAATTAGTATCATTTTTTTTGGCGTGTATCAAAATTAGAACTTTCATCGACATCATGCAACTTGCCTTAAGGCTAAATGTCACATTCAACTAGTTGGAATTATATTGTATTAATCCCATAATTAGGCAATCACTGGATTAGTTTTCTGATAATACTAGGTTCAGGAATTCTACGACTACACATAATTTTAAATGTTGCAGGTTAATATATACATAAATAGTGAAAATACAATAATTCTAAAAATAAATTTTGTGCAATAAAATGATTCATATATTATTCAGAAACACCTACATGTTTATTGGCGATTACTCTAATAAGATTAATAATTTCACTTATGAAAAGCTGTGCAAAAATTAAATTTTTATTCAAACTTGACGATATGCTTGAAAATTAAAAATGAAAATTTTTGCATATCTTCACGTTTTGAAGGTTTTTGAACATTTTGGCATATTTTCGGGCGCATGGATCAATCGATTTGAATGGTTCAAAAAACATTCGTTTTTTATTAATAAAGAGTTGTGCTGATTAGTTTTTGGCAAAGGCAGGTCCACTCGTTACGAAGATACGGAGCAAAGAGTGCAGAAAATACAAATCGAGCTTTTGAGAGAACGGAGTATCTGATTTGAATGATCTAAAAAACATTCAATTTGTAACGGTTGGAAGAAGAGGTGATTAGTTTTTGGCAAATGTAGGTCCAGTCGTTTGGAAAATACAGAGCTAAATGTATAAAAAAATGGCAGTTTTTGAGAGAACTAAGTGTCCGAATGATTTAAGGAACTTTCTGCTTGTTTTAGTAAAATAACTGCTTCTAGAAAAAAAAACTTTTCTAATTTTTTTTTTCAATTTTGTTTTGTATATTGAAAATAATTCAGATTTTAATTTTAATCATGACTAAAGTTCTAAAGCTCACTTATATACTTTAAATAAATAATTTCACCTTTGCAATTTAGTTTATATAATTCTTATAAATATTAGACAATGTTACGGTATTTATAATAATCTATTTCAAAAAGATATCAAATTTGCTTTTTTTTTACTTTTAATGCTTTTTACTTTTAATGATGTATCACTGTAGTGAACTGTAGTGACCTGTATCATTGAATGCAGTTCCTATATTTTTAACTTCCGTGGGGTTATAGTGATTAAAAATCTAAAATGATTTTTTTTGCATATCTTCACGTTTCAACCTTCTCGAATATTTTGGCGTTCCTTAGAAAAAATAATGTGTGTGTGAAAAAATAATGCGCGGATACAGTTTTTTGACCACACTTTCGAGAGAACGGATCAACCAATTTGAATAATTCAACAAGAATTTGATTGTTATTGATGGAAAGATGTGCTGATTAGTTTTTGGCAAAGAAAGGTCCAGCCGCTTGGAAGATACGAGGCAAAAAATGCAAAAATAGAAAGTTTGAGAGAATGAAGCGTTAAATTTTAATGCATAAAAAACATGTTAATTGTAAATTATTACTTGTTCTTTTGCATAACTTCAGAGATATTATACCCTAGTTAAACATAATTATATATTGGTTTCTGTTTATATACCTAAAAATAAACGTGAAATTAGATTTATACAACTTTGAAAATATCAGTTCTTCAATTTTATTATTTAATTTATCACAATTATTACATAACATTAAAGAGTATCTTAAATCACATTATATTGAAAATAAAATCCACTTAAACATTAGCATATTTTTCAATAAATTTTCTGATTTCGGGGTGTGACACTTTAGCATAAATTCCTGGTTTTCCTGGTCTGGCACATCCTTGACCCCAAGAAACCACTCCTACTTGCTTTCTATTTTCATCTACCAGTGGACCGCCACTGTCGCCTTGGCAGGAATCTTTACCTCCTTCAGGAAGACCAGCACATAACATGCTTAACCAAATAAAATTTTATGTTAAAATTCTAGCTTTAGATCTATTTTGATGTATTACCTTTAAGAAGATACCTACCTGTCTGTAATTTTGTCTTTACCTCCAGAAGGTGGATACCCCTTAGCACAATCTTTGGGAGAGATAGCTGGAACTTTCACACCTTGTAGTTGCAAAGTTCCGCCGCCACCTTCCTGTATTTAATACTATTTATATATTCATAATACTATTTATATATTCATAATTATATAATTTTTTATTACATTAATGCTTTGTTCCAAAATATATAACAAATGGCAAAAAAAAGATTTTCTAAAGTTTTCAATATAAGATATGCATTGAAAGAAACATAAAGTTAATAGTCAAAATACATAAATTGAAGTAATACTTGTTCTATGATTCTGGTACTTTGTAGTAAAAATTTTCTGTCTGCATTCAAATTTATTTCAATATATCTAAGGTAATAACTTGAATATATTTAAGTGTATTCCATTACAATTTAGTGGCATCAATCTCAATTTCAATTTTATTCCTTCAACTTGCTGACTGTCATATATAACAACTTGGTTATCGAAACTTATCACATTTCTTAAATGTATTGGTAAGTACTAAAGGTTTTATGAAAATAAAATGAACTGCATTTCAAAATTATTATGGCACTAAAGACTTCAATCAATAGTTTTTTTGTAAACGTATAATAGCCCGGCAATTTAAACCTAAAACCTGGGTCAAAGTTACAATAATTCGTAATGGGCTGTAACTTGGTAAAATTATTTAAAATACAACTATAAAAAATCACAAAAGTCCTCATCGATCCAATGCGAGGTAAAAATGGCAGAAGGACATGCGAGTTAAAAAAAAAAGAACAGATCAAGAAAAACGATGCGTAAAATATAAAGATACATTTGAAAGTTATGACTCCCAAATTTAGTTGCATTTTTATAATTACCGCCTTTTTATTTTTATCATCCATTTCTCAAATATTATTTTCCAATTCAAGACAGACCCGTGAAATACTAGGGAAATCACGTAAAAAAAACGAGCTAAGCACACTACCTCGTAGGTGGCGTTTAAAACGTTCATTTCAAAGTGATATTCTTTAAAACGGTGGCTTTGAACAAAAAAAGTATAAATATTTTTTGTAGATAATTTTATGCTCTACTATATTGTCTCACGTAATTTCGCGATAAAACTGACCATTTAGCAAAAAATTGCTAAAGGTCGTTTTTTTACCTTTGACCTTTTGCCATTTTCTTTAGTTCGCATCGGATCGATGAGGACTTTTGAGATTTCTTTTATAATTGTATTTTAAACAATGTGCCAAGTTAAAGCTTATACGAATTATTGTAACCTTAATGCGTAAATTGAATTATAAAATAACGTAAGATAAAATCTATTAAATAAAGCCAAGCAAAAATTCTTTTTGCAAAATAAAATATTATTGTTTATTGAACCAAGGGAATGCAATATCGATAAAAATTTTCGATACCTGTATTTCGGTATTTTCGCTTTCAAAACGGTGATACTGGTATCAATTTTATCTAAAAAATGTTTTTTTTTCTCTTTATTGAAGTACAATCTGTCTTTACAAAAAAGACATTTAGTAATTTTGATGATATATGAAATATTAAATATTAGATTTAAAACCCAGTAAGCCTTTTCAATTTTGATATTGTGATTATATAGAGTATCTAAAAATGTGAACAAAATTACGTTATTTGAACAAACTTAAAAAATAAACTTGTTTTGCTGATGCCACTTGAAAAAACTGTCTCTTTTTTACATAAGAAAAAGTAAATATTTTGACACTTGTTTATACGACTTGAAAGAACATTTGTTTAAAGTGATTATGAGGTTTGAAGTTTAGATGGTTCTTAAAATTCAAGTATGATATGTATTAACTAGCGCTTATGTTTCAATGCCAGAATACCAATATTTCAAGGTATTATTTGTTATAAAACCGCCAAAAATTTGGGCGGTATACAGTATATCGTTTTTTGTTATACCGGTATAATGGTATAGAATTCTCTAATTGAGACTTGAATTGCTTTGTTAATTATTTTTATCCGTTACTATATTTAAGCACCCACATTAACCTAAATTTTCTGGATAATTAATCACAACATTTCTCATAATACCTTAGTTGCACCCCATCCAGTGACACTAAGTATTGCTCCAGGTTTAACTTCAGTTCCACTTTCGGCTAAATCTACTGATACTACTGTACAAACCGTATATGAGACTGGTTTTTCAAGTTCTAGTACAGCAACGTCAAAATCATAATCCGCCCTCTTATTGTACGAGGGATGCATGTGGAAATCTATTACTTTATGAACTCGACCACCTTTGTTACGTATACTGCTTCCTATACGTACGGTTATGTCTTTGAGCGGCTTTTTCAACCTAGAAATAATTATTGATAGTAGCATATATGCAAAAATTCCATTGAAATTGAAAATTCAAATTTTAAAGTTAATTTAGTTTTTATCAAATTTGTAATTAATTCTCTAAAAGTTTTAAAAATTAGAATTTAATTACTTATTATCATTTGAGAATTTGATTTTTTCGTTTTTAAATGAGGTTCTAAACATATGTAAAATATTTTAAACCCCAATATTTATGTTGCCATATTTAAATTATAACATAGGTTATGCCCATTATATACATCTCATTACAATGTAGTTTAATTAATCAGAAGTAATATTTAGTATATTAATCTGGGAATATATATGGAGGCTATGCACATCAAACATTACGTTATAAAGAACTTAAAAAAATTTATTTTCTCATAATACCTGTTTATTAACTTCCCGTAGGGTAAGTTATTGTAATCGTCCAAAAATCGAAATTAAATTTTTTTATATTTCTTCACGTTTTGAAGGTTTCTGAACATTTTGGAATAATACCTTAGAAAAAATGGATGTGTGTACGTGTGTGAGTGTGTATGTATGCATGGATACAATTTTTCGCCTACGTTTTCGGGCGCACGGATCAACCGATTTGAATGGTTCAAAACAATCTATTCCTATTGGTAGAAAGATTGCTGGTTAGTTTTTGGCAAAAGTCGGTTCAGCCGTTTCTGAGATACGGAGCAAAGAATGCAGAAAATAGAAATGGAGTTTTTGAGAAATCCAAAATAACATTCATTTTGTAAAGATGGGTAAAAGTGGTAATTAAATTTTGTCTAAGACAGGTATAGCTTTTTCGGAGATACAAAGCAAAATGTGCAAAAAATGGCTATTTTGAAAGAAATAAGCATCCGATTAGAATAATTCAAAAAACTTTCTGCTTGTGTTAACGAAACGATTGTTTTCGAGGAAAAAAGTAATTTCATTTTCTTTTTATTTTCAAAATTATTTTATTTTATTTTTATTATCGAGAGATTTGCCTCAAGACACAATGCCGTACACCACTAGTTATTATTTTGAAGCACTATTTGTCCCGGACTTGTTGTATTAAAAATTTTATATTTTGAATTTGTTCTAATTAGAGTTATATTTACAGAAACAAACACACATAGTTACACTAAATACAATATTAATTACTCAATTTAATTTAAGGTTTAGTTTTTACTAAGCTTATATTTCGGATTTCGCAATAAAATTGGTTACCATTTGGTAAATTGTTAAAGTTAAAATATTTGACCATTTTTGAGGTATAACCCAGTTTTGAGCTAATTTCATGATTTTGATATTGAAATATTGCCGTTGTAATCAGACATAAGAGTAAGTTATAGTAATAACAAATAAATCAAAAAAGAAATTGTTTTTATACGTGTTTACGTTTTAGAGGTTTCTAAAAAAAATCATTTGGTGATAAAAATTGATGATAAGGCTTATGCACATCAATTTATCAGATATTTTATAGAGATTTTTATAAGTACAAATTTTGTTTCAATGCGTTCCGTGCAAATGTATATCAATTAGATTGCGACACTGCGTTTACGCTCTTTCAAAGTTCAAAGTTTTAAAAAAATTTCAAATGTAAAAAAATTCTCATATTTTAAAAAAAAACAAAGTTTAATTTTCAGTATGGGAAGTTTCACGAATTTACCTTCTACGATGCTATGCACCACTAGTTGTGCTATTGGATTGCGCTACAATCTGCATCTTTCTCTGTATATTTCATCTTTACAACTGAATTGATAATTAACCTTAACCGTATATAACTTTTAAATTGAATTTTCTAATGGCAAAACAGAAATAATATTTTCTTATTTGAAAAAATTTATGTAAAACTGCTTTGAAATTGATCAAATCTTGATCATCTTTTAGTTCTTATGTTTTTGCTTTTAATGAATGATTATTAATAAACCAATTGTTTAGTTTTAATTTACCGATGCAGCTATAAAACCCATTAATTTTTTCTTATAAGGATTGCAATATATTTTGTTTAGCTACAGATGTAGCTGATTTACTCATAACATTAATTTATTGTTATATATATATATATATATATATATAATATTAAGTATTTTATTAAAATATCCTTACCATTCAACACAGTGTGCAGCAGTTAGAATCCATTTTGGTGCAATAATTGATCCTCCACAAAAATGAAGGTTTTCACTTTGAAATGAAATTTGCCAACCACAAGTTGATATATCAACATCTTCACCTCCAACGATTCGGTCATCGAATTCTGTTACATTATTTCCTAAAAAGTTAACTTCGTTAGAAAGCAACTAAATTTTGATATTATTTCAACGTTAATATATTATTATCTTTTACCAAAAACAAAACTGATTTGAGCGAAAATCGCAAAAACTACCAAAGTTTCATCATTGTTAATTATGATGCTTTTGCAAGTTTTCAATACAAAATAGAGATCTCATGTACCAACTCATCATATTTTATACCCGGGTATTATATAATTTTTGATGAGCTATGTTCATACGTAAAATGCATAATTTTGAAAAATTTGATTACTGATTCATTGTCTACAACACGTAAAAATTGGCACTAAAGTACAATCATTATATGATAAACTGTATTTAAGTGCTTTCGCGTGTAGATATCAAACAAATCAGGTGTTTCCAATTTCCAATTTATACAAGTATTTATTACACGAATACAAAGTAGTATTCTAAAAGATTTTTCAAATAAGATTACAACTTGTGACCTTAAACCATATTCAGAAAGAAATGATTTAAAAAAAATAGATTTTGGGTTTAAAACTTTCAATAAAGGTATGTCATGCTTCAAAAATGGAGATACCAAAATACAAACTTAATTTAGCATTACTTTATATAAAATCAGGCTTTTATAGAAATAAGAAACTAGTGGGGTGCATGGTATCGTGTATCATGGTACCGGAATTGAAAATCTTGGTACGGTACCCAAAAAAATTTACACAAAATGTGTACACATTATTAAAATCTCTATAAAATATCTGATAATTTGATGTACATATGTCCAAAAACATTTTTGACCGACAAATGACATTTTTTTTAACTTATTTTTATTGAGAGTCTATAACTGCTGGACCTGCCTTTCAAAAATTTAATCAATTCTTCAATATAAGTAAAATGTTTTTTGAATTATTGAAATCGGACGCTCCGTTCTCTTAAAAACTGAGTTACCGTTTTTGGCACTTTTTGCCTCGTATCTTTGGAACGCCTAGACCTGTCATCGTCAAAAACTAATCAGCACGTCTCCTTATCAATACAAATCCAATGTTTCTTGAATTATTCAAATCGGTTGATCGGTGTTCCCGAAATCGTCGACGAAAATTTGTATCCGCACACACATCTAAGCTATGCCAAAATGTTCAGAATCTTTGAAACGTAAAGATAGGCAAAAGTTTTCATTTTCGATTTGTTTGCGATTACCATAACTTACCCTACGGGAAGTTAAATATCATGTTATTGACTCAATATTATCTCGAACCTTTTTTTGTATTTCGACACCCTGCTCTACAACAAATGAAAGTACATGCACAACAAAATTTTTATTCAAAATTTTTATACAAAAGTTACAAAATAGAAGGCAATTATTTTTGATATGATATTTTTAATCACTAGATTTCGTCAAAATGAACTCTAGAATTTCTGGATGATTTACTTTTGTGTAAACTCCCGGTTTATCAGATTGACCACAATGGGTACCCCAGGATACAATCCCTATAAGTTTCCTGTTTTTGTCAACTAATGGACCACCATAATCACCGTGACAAAAACCGTCACCTTTTGCAGAACCAGCACATAACATTCTATAATAAAATGTGAAAGTTATTAATTTTTTACAATTTTAAGGTGTTATTATAATTTAATTTTTACCTATCAGTGATTCTGTCTGGTTTTCCTGGTTCTGCATAATTACTTTGACATACTGAAGAATCTATCAGAGGAATCCAAGCACCAAGTAATTCTGAAGAATCGTTTCCTTCGGTCTGTAAATGAATTTTGAAATAATTACTAGCATTGATGCAGAAGTAATAAGTAATAATAATTACAACAATTAACAAGTGATTGTAATTAAGTAATTACCAGGTTCTAAAGGTTATTAATTTGTATGTATTTAAAATATATTATTAATTGTTAGTTATTAACTTTCCGAGATAATAAGTTTTTGTTTTTGTCAATAAATCCATTTGTAATTGCATGTTTTTTCGACCATTCTCGTCATTTTGAATTGCTTGTCACCAAAATGAAAAAAGCATGTATGTGCATGTGTGTGATCCAAAATTTTTCGAATTTCGAAAACGTTTTAATTTCAAAAAATCAAAAGCCTCAGTTAGATATCGTGCTGGTTAGTTTCAGAAAAATTTTGAATTTTTTTTTGTGATGATTCTTATAAACATAATGTTTAACTCTAAACAATCATCTTAGAATATTATAGTTATTTAACAGGCTGTAATAAAGTGGTTTACTTATAATTTGTTTTTTATGTAAATAGCTAAAAATGTTATTGTTCAAATTTTAAAAGCTGCTAAATTTTAATTTTATTGACTAAGTTGATTATTAGGATTTATTACACATAAGGGGAAGTTCATGCAACTTGCCTTAAATAAAATTGCAGGATCAGCATACTGTTAATTAATTTTAAGCATAAATATTAAATAAAAAACACACACATCCAAGAATTATGAGTTCTTGTTGTGACATATCATAGTTTTTATTCTATCGTTATTTAAGACCAATGTTATGGCAAGACCATGTTGGCAAAATCCTGTGTGGTAGCTGTGCAGTTAGGCGTTTTAGATAGAAAACCTAACATAGAAGACCCACAAATGTAAAAAAGACGATGTCATTATACCTGGATCTTTAAAATATGGCTTGATAACATATGAGTGAAGTTGCATTTTATGTATAAAACACTTGATCAGACAGCAAATACACGGCATTTTGACCGTATTTAGTAGCATTTTGTATGAAAACTGGAAGTTAACACAACCTTGCCATAACATTAGTTCACTTTACAGCAGAATCGGCCCATAAAAGTCAGTTTTTTAAATCAACTCACAGGAAATATATAGAATATAAAATACTTCAGTTTTATTATATTACCTGGTTAGCTCCCCATCCTGTTACATAACTAAAGATCCTACAGGAGTCTCATATTGCTCATTAGCTAAATTTACAGGTCGACTATTACACACTGTAAGTTTAATAGGATTTTTAACTTTAACCAGAGCGACATCATAATCAAAGGTCCTTATATTAAATTTCGGATGTAAAACTATGTCGGTTACTTCGTATACATTTCCATTTGAATTGTGGTAGGAACTTCCTGTACGTATAGTTAAATCATTGGTGTCACCGCTGAAATATTACCATAAATAATTATTTACAATAAAAAATGGCAGTTTTTGAGAGTACTAAGCGTCCGATGTGAATTATTCAAAGAACTTTCTGCTTGTTTCAACAAAATAATCACCTTGGAAAAACAATTTTTGTTTCTATTTTTTTTTCAATTTTTTGTTTCAAAAATTTTTTTTGTATTTCGAAAATAATTTAGATTGTAATTTAATTTAGATTTAATTACTGTTTTAATATCCTTCAAACAAATAATTCCAACTTTGCAATTCAGTTTATATAATTCTTATGAATATTGAACAATGTTACGATATTTATAAAAATCTATTTGAAAACATTTAATATCATTTCGTTACGGTACGGGAAGTTTCAGCAATTTGCCTTTAGGCACGCTGCCATACCCGTTAGTTTGGGATGTATTTGTTTAAAATACTATTAAATATTGAATATATATTTTATTTACAGATATATTCTTGACATTTGTTCGGCATCGAGTATATTTTTATTAATGATCCTAGATAATTTGTCTGAATAAAAATTTAATACATGCTAATTTAACATGAATAAACATATAGTTTGTTATATTTTTAATAGACTATTGGTTAACTTCTCATAAGGTAAGTTATAGTATTCGAAAACATCTTAATCATTTTTGATTTTGACAACAAAACATTCCTATTGATAGGGAGGCGTGCTGATTAGTATTTGGCTAAAGCAAAGCAACATTTCAGATATGGGCAAAATGTAATTCATTCAGAAAACATTTTACTTGCAATGACATTATTGACCAAGTTTTTGGGAGGCAGAAAAAGTTCAGAAAATTTATTTATTTAAGTTCAGATAGAGGGCAACGTGGTTTTATCGAATGATGTTTATGTTTGACTTTATCGAATGATGTTTACAAGGAAAGCCCCATAGTTCATTCCATAAGTCCAAATGGGCCAATGATAGTTTTGTACAGAAGTACCTTGTTATCGAGAGAGATTTCAGATTACTTCCCAAAAAGCCAGTAAAAATCTTTTATTTTCAGTTGATTTGTTTCTTTTTATTTTCAATGTGCGTTCTCCATGTCAATTTTGAATCAATGCGCATGCCTAAATATTTGACAGAATTGCATAGTGGAATTATTGAATTGTTTATGACGATAGGTGGACTGTTGTGAATAAAAGTCATAATTAAAAAGTCTAATTTTTTTACTTTCAAAATTCTCAGAAATATAATTCATTCAAAGTTTTCAAAAAAACTTAGAATTTAACACTTTTAAATTCCGCCACTTGTTAACTAATCCGCTAATTTTTGTTTTCTCGACGTTTCAAGGCATTCCGAATTGAATGAGACCAATTTGAAAAAAGTATATGTGTGTGTGTGTGCGTGTGGTGAACAGATTTTTTGCCGTAAATTGACGTTTTCTCAAAAACGACTGAACGATTTCAAAAATTCAAAAGCCATTTGATGCACCTCTATGAGGACGTTTCTTTGTAAATAGCAGAAAAGTAAAAAAAAAATCGTCCAGGTTTTAGCCCACAATTCTGAATTGATTTGTATATACAAAAACCGTTCGAAAGATATTGGTTGGGAATCGACCTGATT